CCCCTGCACCCCTGCACCCCTGCACCCCGCAGCCTCTTCTACTACATTTCCCGCCAGACCAGCGGCCTCACGTGGATGGTGGCAGCCCACGAGTGGATCGCGCCCGGCGCGGCCGTCAGCACGTTTGAGAGCTACATCTGGTCCTTGTACTGGGCCACGGTCACGTTTGCGACAGTCGGGTGAGCGGCGGAAACGCTCTGCCGGGCGCGTCCACCCCGGCTGCTGTCATTTGACCCTCTGCCATACTCTCAGTCGTGCCTCTCGTGCTCGTGGTGACATTCTCCTACCCGGTACATCGGACGCGCCCGGCCGCTCACCGTCATCTGTCGCCCAACCTCCGTCCCGCCCCAAAACTGCACCCAAAAACTTCCTGTCTTGGTGCGTATGCATGCAGCTACGGCGACATCCACGCCTACACGGCAGCGGAGGCGGTGTTCATCATCATCGTCATCAACCTCAACATCTTCACGGTGCGCCTGGCTGCGTGACACACACACTCACACACACACACTGTCTGTGCGCGCGCACGCATGCGTGTATATGTATGTGTATGTGTGTGTGTGTGTTGGTACTGTGTTTGTGTTGTGGGGGGCCAAAGGCTTGGCCGCCAACAGGGGCTCAGCTTGCCTAAGCCAAGATGTCACACGACTGACTCTGACGCGGCCACGTTCCCACCCCTTGTTGCGCACTGCAGGGCGCTTACATCATCGGTGAGGCGATCCCCTGCCCTGCTCTGTGGCAGGCGGACGCACCGCGGCGTGCAGGAGTGCATGTATGCGCTGGACTGCGCCGATTGCAGCTTCGAGCTGCATTGTGCCCAAGCCCATTTGTCAACCAGCCATCATCAATGCAGGCGCATGCACTCACACACGGCCGCATCCACGCATGATAATAACGCATGCAAACTTCCCCTCCAGGCACGGTCACGCTGATGGTCACCCGCTCCGATGAGGAGACGGGGCGGTACCGCGGCCAGCTCCAGGCCCTGAAGCAGTACGGCGCCACGCACGACATCCCAAAGGTCAGTGCAGGCAGTACACTCATTTTGTGTGGCTCCATTTTTGGAACAACAGTCAGACAGCAATGCTGAAAGCGGCATCAGTCGAGCAGTAGTTCTGCTGACAGGGGGCGCAGCCAGGCGCTGCAGTTGGCACAGTCAGGCAATGTTTTCAAGCGTCCTGCTGCTTGGGCCGACTTGACTCTTGCTCACAAGCTTGCGCTTTTTGTCGTAGCACAAAAGCGCGACTTGCTTCCCAGCCACATTGGCCAGGCTTGCTCTGTTGCCTCACGGTGGCATTGTTTGTGCAGGTGTGTTCAAGCCTATTCCTGCTTTGTGGTGCCCCCCGTCTTGCCAAATTTTGAAGCAAGACAACCGCCAACCGACCAACCCTCAGGACCTCCAATCCGCCATGAGGGGTCACCTGCGCCTTTACTACAGCTCCCAGGAGGGCAGCGACGAGCAGGCAGGCTCCAGGGGCCTCACCGGGGTGCCGTGTTGCTGCCTGCTTGCAAGGAATTGTTGCAGTGTGCAGGCTGGGCATGCGGGGGATGTGATGTGTGCACTAGGCGGCAGTGAGCAGAGGGTTGGCAGGGTTGTCAGGCATTATTGAGACGCACGGAGGGTGCCGGCAAGCACCAAAGGCGTGCAGCAGCAGGTGCAGACGCAAGCTCCAGCGAGACAACACCGGTTTTGCGTCAACCATCCTGCCTGGCAGCCCCCAAAGCCTCAGATCTTCTAACTCGGTCCCGGCTGTCTCGCTGCTATCCTTTCTGCTGCTGCCGATGTTTGCAACCTGTGCCAGGTGCTGGGTTCCCTGCCGTCTGCGTTGAGGCGGCGCGTGCTGCGCCACATGTACCTAGGTGCGGCTGGGAGACGCGGCTGTGATCGCGCACGTGTGTGTATGTGTGTGTGCGTGATTGTGTGTGCGTGTGTGTGCATGTTGTGTGTCTGTGTGCGTGTATATGTTTGAGGGGGGGGGTGCACGAAGGAGATTGCTAATGCTTGTGTGACTTGTCTGATGCGAGGCAGCGCTAGCACCCGCGATCGCGCGCGCCCGAGGGCGAGCCTGTGGCTCGCCAAAAGCCCGTCTTGTTCCGCAGAGTTTTCAAGGTGCTTGGCGTGGTACTCAGCGCTCCATGCCAATCCTGGCAGGCGAGGCGCCCATTAATCAACATAAACTTGCGACGGTGCAATAATATGATGACACGACACCGTGTATTGCAGGCGCCCTGCAGGACTCGTGGCTGCTGCTGGGCACCAAGCAGAAGTTTCTTGACGCCTTCCTGGCGGCTGCCAAGATCGAGCACGTCATGCCCAAGGTCGGTCGCGCGTGCTTTGCTCCCTGCGCTTGATCTGCGACGCATCTTGCCTGCAAGCGATGGTTCTTGCCTGGTGCACTCTCAGGTTGCGCCGGAAAGAAGCAGTAATCTCTCTGTTTTGCATGGACTTGGCCGCATTCCCCCCCAAATCCCATTCCCTCAACAGTTGCCTCCTCCTACCATGCACCATTCTGGCGGTGTGTGGCCCCTCGACCCACCCAGCCACTCCCCTCTACGACGCACACCGCTGCCTTCCCCCCACGCCGCCAAACCACTGCGTCACATTCCCCACGCCCCGCCCTCGCCCTCCTGCTGCCGACGCAGGTGGAGATTGTGAGCGAGGGGGACACGGTCAATGAGGTGAGGCGGGTCGGGGCCGGCAGGCGTCCCTCTAAGCTGTCGGGGCGCGTCTCATGCAGGCGCCTGTTGCACTTCCCGCCAAGCCCACCCTCTGCTCGGCCCCCCCAGGCGGCCGGGCGGTCGTGCGCTTTTACAAATGCAGGGACCTGTATCTGGTCCTGCAGCCCCATTCTTTGCGCTTCAACAGACAAGCCTGCTTTCCAGACAGGCGCATGCAGCAGCTGCTGCATGCGCCTGGTGGTGCGCCCCACCACCTGCCCACGAATCCCCCGTCACCCGTTTGTGCCGCCCATCCGTCCAGCTGATGCTGCTGGTGGCGGGTGTCGCCATGATCGAGTCACCGCGCTCTGACAGCAGCTCCAGGACCGGTGAGGAGGCCCAGCGCCGCCAATCGGTCACCGCTGGACCGCTTGGGGCACTGCGGGCCAGCGGCGGGGTCGTCCTGGGGCTGGTGTTGGGGCTGCCCAATGGACCCGCAGCGCCAGCAGGCGCATGCAGATGTGCCCTGTGTGCATGAATCAGCCAGCGCGTGTCTTTTTGAGGTTGGCTTACTCATGCATTGTTACATGTGACTGGCTTATGGTTGCGTGGTTGCGTGCGCATGCAGCCAAGCATGCCCGTGCATGTGAGCAAACTCCTGCATGCGAGCGCGCACAAGCACATGCGCACGCGTGCGGGCGCACACGCACGCATGCACACACACACGCACGCATGCACGCACACACACACTCGCACGCGCGCGCACGCACGCGCACACACACACACACACACACACACACACACACACACCATGCACGACACACACACCCCACGCACAACACACACACGCGCACACACCTCAAACACCCCAGGGGAGCACGTAGTCCTGAGCCTGGACGGCGCGTCCGTCCACGGCGCCACCATCAGAGAGCTGGGCCCCGGCGACCCGCTGGCTGAGATGGCCTTCTTCACAGAGACAGCAAACCTGCAGGTGAACATGACGTCATCATCTGTTGTTGCGCGCAGAGACAGCCGACACGATGTCGATCTCTGTTGGCACACCAACCCTGCTTTGCTGGTCACACTATGCTGACGCGGTGGCTGCAGGTTTCACTGTCTCAAATGCAGAGTAGGTGCTGGGTCACAGCACCTGCTTCAGCCCTTTGATCGCAGTCCCGGCTCGTTCTGCTTGCCGGCACGCCCATTCAAGCCTCACCCCCCCCCCACC